TATAAATTTCGTTAATTTATTAAAAAAGAAAGAAAATACTCCATCACCACCATTTTGTTTTTATAGAACCAAAGAATTTTTATAGCATTACGATTCTACCACGGTTCGAGTCTTACTTCCCACTAATACAAGGCAATACCACTCGCAAACTTCGAAAAGTTTCCAAAGGTCGTTCAATTATTACATAACCCCTACTCAAAGCCGAAGACTAGCCTCCCTTTCACCGATTATCAAAAACGGCCTGAGAAATAACCTTAGCATTGAACACGACGAATTAACCGACCCAGAATCGAAGCTAGCCCACCAAACGGCAGCCTTCCTTGGTACCCGCAATTTAAATCAAGGCGCCGCCCGTCGAGAAGCGAATTTCCCGCTGTACGGTTTGAAAGTGAACGTCGCGAACGTAGCGTGCGTCGAAGGTAGCCGAACGCGGCCGAACGCGGCCGAGCGAGACCGAACGTTAAAAGTGACAGTGGCTCCGTTCGGAGCGTTTCCTGTGGGTCGTCGCGAGGCGTGGTGCGGCTGTCTTTTGTGCGAGCATTTGCTCTCGGTTCAAGGAGATCCAGAAGCGGCGGCGCGGCGAAACACTGGCGTTCTGAATCTGAATCTCTCACGGTAACCACGCCGCCATAATCCTGCCTCGCCCCGTATTCGGGTCAAACCGAGTAGTAGAAATTACGTAACACGTGTGCAGCCGGGGCGGTTCCCACCGAGTCTGCTCTGCCGGAAGTCGGGGCCACGTCTTGCAGCGAGGACGCACGGTCAGCCGCCATGCGTCCAGTGCATGGGAAAAATTGACTCCTCGCGATAGGAAAAACCGATCGGTAGCGAGAAAAATGATCGGTGGTCGACGTGGAAACGAGAATGCACAGGCACGTGACGGGAAGAGAATCGAGACTGTTAGCTTCCCTCAGGCAGGAATTACGAGTTTATCTTAGTCGCTCGGTTTCGTCATCGAAGGAATTTCAATCGTGTATCCTGTGCCGTGGAAACCGTTCGATGGAATGTTTCAAGGCTGTGTCTGCTTTGGTGTTTCTTAAATATTATCTAGACCACTGGGGTTTTTAGCTATTATTTCCCAGTGCCGTTTCTCCTTGCGGTATCTTAATTGGGATATTACAGATATTTCTGTAATGTCAAATAGCTATTTTCCTGCGTTTTTTGGACCAATATTATCCCCTTCTATTGGTAGAAGGGACTAGGTTTCGTTTCGGATTGAGGTAATCGACGAGAGCTTATAGAAATGTTTGAGATTGTTAGGTTGTTCGGAAAGTAATTTCGTATACAAAAATAAAATATTAAATAAAAAATAAAATAATTATTCACTATAGCAAAATCGTCTCTCATTTTCATAAAAAAAAAAACGAAATGACTTACCGAACAATCTAATATTATTGGGTGTTATCTTCAGAAGCTGCTTAGTCAATAAAGTTTCGAATATTTTGAATTACCTTTTTGACAAATTTTTATTAAAATTCTAAGACGAATTTATCTCTAGATTTAATTAGGTGGTAATAGTGAAAGTTGAAACGATTATATTTTTAACTATAGAAACAAAATTCTGCAGCCACCTGTTTTGAATAATTTAGTAAACCGGGAATAATTATAAATATATATTTCTATTTTTACGTTTTATATTTAAAATGGAATTATTTACTTTCGCGCTGGGTTTAAATCTATTTTATATACTTCGTGATTACAGTTAATGTAATTTGAGTAAATTAGCGCAAGTTAAGTGTTATTTTCAAGCACTGTTTAATCAGTGAGATTTCGAATATTTTGGATTACCTTTTTAATCAATTTTGATTGAAATTCCAATACGAATGTATCTCTAGATTTAATCAGGTAGTAATAGTGAAAGTTGAAACGACTATATTTTTATCTAAGTATACAAAATTCCAGAACCACTTATTTTGAATAACTCAGTAAACCTGGAGTTGAATTAATTGTGAATATATATTACAATTTTTATTTTTTATATTTAAAATAGAATTATTTACTTTCACGTAGTATTTTATTTTATTTTGTATATTTCATTATTACAGTCAATGTAATATTTTATTTTAATCAATGAGGTTTCGAATATTTTGGATTACGTTTTTAATAAATTTTTATTAAAATTCCAATATGAACGTATCTCCATATTTAATTAAATTTTAATAGTAAAAGTTTAAACGATTTCTACCTAAATAGACAAAATCCTACACTCATTTTGAATAACTTAGTAAATCTGGTATTAACCTAATTGTGAATATATATTTCTATTTTTATTTTTCATATTTAAAATAGAATTATTTATTTTCACGTGAATTTAATTCTATTTTATGTACTTCGTTATTACAGTCAATGTAATATGGGTAAATTGGCATATCTTGAGTGTTATTTTAATCAATGAAGTTTCGAATATTATGGATTACCTTTTTAATAAATTTTTATTCAAATTCCAATACTAATCTATCTCTATATTTAATTAAATTTTAATAGTAAAAGTTTAAATGATTTTTACCTAAATAAACAAAATTCTACACTCATTTTGAATATCTTAGTAGATCTGGAATTAACCTAATTGTGAATATATATTTCTATTTTTATGTTTCATATTTAAAATGAAATTATTTACTTTCACGTGGTATTTAATTCTTCGTTGTTGAATAAAATTTCAAATGCATGGAATTAATCGCAAAGTGCACGGGTTGCTTGATCTTATACGTATATATATATATTGTCCCTCTGGATAATTTTATCGACGTTTCCATCTTTCAACCTGCCTCAGAACAACACGTTTCGCGAATCACAATCTGTTTCCTTGAATTTCTGTATCGCGATTGCAGAACGGTGGTTGTGCAATAAATCAAAACTTTCCACATTTTACAAGAGCGTGATTTCTCACGAGTAGAAAACGCTTGAAATTCCATCGAATTCAACATTTCCTACCGATCGACCCAAATCTATCCATTGCGGTTTCTATATCATTATTGACACGCTGTTTCCGCACAATCGCCTATTTCAAAGAAATTGACCTTAATATACACACACAGCAGATAAACGGAACCGTTACATTTCATAATCACATAAACTAAAACCCATAAACATACGGATACCATCAATTAAAATACGAGACTTTTACGAAACTGTTATGAAATCAACAGACTGTAAATTTAAATCGACTATTAATATTAATGAGAAAAAATTGTTAATTACATTATGCAATCTAACAGTCTTGATATTAATTAATTCTTATTATACCATTATCTACCAATAATAAATTATTACTAGCACCAATATTACCATACCATTTACCATTTATTTACTCCTTTCATTGTTAAAACTAATATTTTAAAGTTCTTAATTTAGGAATTAAAAGACCCAAGTATAAGAAGCTCGTTGGAGCAAAATATTAAACAATTAACACCAATTTTATTACTGAATATTAACACTAGGTTTACGGTTGCTATCTGTATACCTATTTCTAAGGACACCTGTAAAATTGACAGGTAAAAGAAACCACGTGCCTTTTTTTTTAACGATTAGTTTAATTTAAAAACAATTATATATTATATTAAGTCTTCATATAAGTTAACTAAATCTGTTACCACCGTATAATTAGAGCAACCCTTTAAATCAAAACCCTCAAATTGACGGGTTCCATAAATCTAGTGTTAACTACGAAAAATAAACTATATTTCGTATCCTTGTTCCCAGTTTCTAGATACTCGTAAACAATAGTGTTCGTTTCATAAGAGCACGCAAAACCTATTACGTTTAAGTATCATTATTTACAAAGGATTCATGGAAAACACCAAGGCTGAACCAAATTAGACACTCTCCTAAATCGTCCCAGAATAGAACAAGCAAAACTAAGAAATACTTAACAATGACACCGGTCACACTATAAAATGCCTGTCTCTTCGGACTATAAAACGACAACGAACGATTTCACGGATTTACATAATAAAACAACATATCCTGCCATTCTATCTCGTAATGCAAGGAACAGCGTAGAGGCAGTTCCATGTACCATAACATTGCATCGGGCTTGCCATAACACTTTTCTTCCTCGCTGGCTCGGCTCATGGCGTACTCTTTAGTAACGTCAGACAGGCTCAGCGAGCGATAAGGAATTTTGCAGCACATGCCATTCTGCGCGTACTCGAGTTCACCGATCCGCGAAACTCGCTCTCTCTTCGCCATCTTCTGCTTCCTATTGACTATAAACCGTACCCTGTTGCAGATCCGGTTTCGTGACTGGAAACTAGAATAACAGCCTAGCCTGCCGACATTCTAATACACCGATTTTGATTACGAATCGCGTGACGCGATAAAAGCGTTTTCCTCTTGGTCCGCGGCTAGAGGCTCCGTTCGCTCCTATCAGACTGTCTGCCGTATTATAGCCTCTTCTACTCGTCGTCTCATACTACTTAAAAACGTCTCCTCGTAGCTGCGCGTGTTTGGTCAAGTAATTATAGCAATAGACTCGGTGATTATGTTGATAGGTTGCTGGCATGTTGAGCATAGCAAGGAAAAGGTGTGTACCAAGTGCTCGTAATTGCGTACATTAAAAACTTAGCATGCGTTATGATGCAATTGGAAAAATTAAACCAGTCTTCGAGAAAGAGGAATATATTTTGACACTAAATTTTGCAAGACTTTCTCCTCTTGAATTTGCATAAAATAATATTCAAAATTGTAGTGTGTTAGGTGTAAGAATTTTTTGAAATGTGGGATATTTAAATTGCGTACATTAAAAACTTAGCATGAGTTCTGTTGCAATTGAAGAAATTAAACCAGTCTTCGAGAAAGAGGAATATATTTTGACAGCAAATTTTGAAAGACTTTTTCCTCTTGAATTTGCATAACATAATATTGAAAATTGTAGCATGTTAGGTGTAAGAATTTTGTGAAATGTGGGATATTTATATACGGGTTTTAAGTGATCGAAGTTATTATATACGAAATGGAGGTAATAATTGTAATGATTAATGATCTATTCGAATTTCCAGGTAATCCCATTATGCCTTCTGCTGCTAGCAGAGGCGAAGCGAGTAGATCTGCGGCCTCGCATAGCCGAACCGCAAGTATATTACGAAGAAGACGACAGCCAAGCAGCTGAGGACGATTATAACCCAGCAGTGTTCAGTCAACAACGTACTCGTGCCCTTCCTTCGCCACGTTCGAAGGACGCTCTGCACTCATCCAAGCCACCACCAGTTCAGACTATTCGAAATTATAACAAGGTGAACGACGACGGATCTTTCACTTTCGGCTACGAGGCAGCAGACGGTTCGTTCAAGGAGGAGACTCGTGGAACCGATTGCGTAGTGCGCGGTAAATACGGCTACATTGACCCTGACGGTAACAAAAGAGAGTTCACCTACGTATCCGGCAATCCCTGCGATCCCAATGCGCCAAAGGACGACGAGGACGATCTCGCTGACAAGCAAGACGATGACGAACTCTCCGGCCCAGCCAACTATCCAGCGGTCAGGCCAGTACCGAGACCGGTGCAAAGACCAGCTTATCAACAACCCACCACGCGAGCACCTACGACCATCTTCCAAACGCAGTATCAGCTAGACGATGACGCCAGTCAAGAGTTAAGCGAGGAAGACCTAGTTAAACCGCAGCTGAGACCAAGTGCTTACAGACCGGCTCAACAGCCAACCTACGTTCAAGTTACACCGTCCACGGCACTTTACGAGCCATCACCCACGGCCAGCCCTGCTCTCTACAGATTAGCCTCCTCCACGACGCAATATCAGAGTACAGCCTCGCCTGTTCTTCGCGGCCAGCCCACGGTCGCCTCCACGGCTTATCAGACCCTCGAAACAACGACCCGCCGTCCAGTCACTCGTCACCCGAAGCCACAATCGGTCGCAATCACTCCCCGGCCCCACGTTGCACAAGTTGCCGCCCAGTACGTGTCCCCTAGTAGCACCGAGCGCCCAGGGTTAGCCTACTCCCGTCCCTCGGCGGTCACCGCGTCGCCCAATCTCCGCAGCACGACCGCATCTAGCACATCTCACCTTGACTTTGCCGCCGAGCTCGAGCGTTACGTGAACACCGTCGGCGTAGCCAGTCCCAAGCCCGTGCAACCGTCGCCCCAATCATCGAAACTAAAATTAGCCGGTCAATCGCCGATCAGCGCCTCTGCCGCAGACCCCATCTACCAGTCGGAGCTGGTGTACGATCCCGCTACCGGTCAGTACAATACCCAACTTTATCAATCGCTACCCCAAACCGTGGGTGACTTCACCCTAAGTCACAAACTCCAACCGTTCGTAGCCCAGCCCCAGTCCTACCTTGGACTCCAGCACCTGCAGCAGCTTCAGCCCCAGCAGCCCCAGCGTCAGTCCCCGCTTTATAAGCAAACAGCCTCCCAGTTGGCCCAATCCGCCCCTGCTGGCGCTATCAGCCAACCCCAGGAAGTGTTGTACAGGAAACAGCAAACGCAGCTGTTGCAGCAGTCGCAGCAGCTATACGCTCAGCAGCAACGACGCCAGCAGCAGCAGCAGCAGCATCAGCAACAGCAGCAGCAGCAGCAGCAACAGCAGCAGCAGCAGCAGCAATCCGCGCAGGCGCACAGGCTTCAGCTGCTAGAGTCCCAGACGCAACCCCAATCCTTCTACTACGTCGCGCCTGCGAGGTCCTCCAATGCAGCCAGTCCACCTCTTTCCGTAGGTCAGATCGATCACTATCTTCGAGCCAGCGCCTCTCGTTATTGATTCCGTCCAGCCTTGCGAGTCTTCTTTCCATCTACGAAATTTATATAGGGTACCCCTTTTGAATGTTTTATACCTTTATCCGATTACGTATTCGGACCACCCGCGGCACTTTACGAGCGAGATGGTGCTGTCAGTCGGCCTGGCGCGTGCGTATCCGGGATTTAATTGATCGTGCACGGTGCTGATGGCAATCTGATTGTTCAAGGCTATCGATCAGCGATCGGTGTTCTTTGCTATCGGTGTTTCAATTAGTCCAGTTATTTTGCTTTCAGAAGCAGGGTGTTTTATCCCTGTCTTCTTCTCGGTCCAACCTTCGTGGTTTGTTTGCTTCTAGTGAAATCTGTTACGATACAAGGGCATCACGTTGCACACATCGAAGGATCGAATATTTAACACATTTTTGATTAAGCTTGGAAACTTTTAAGTTACCGTTGTGTGGCATTCGAAACCTAATTCGAGTATGTTATTTATTTAGATCTAATAATCGTAACTCTGATTGTATCGTGTATGTACGTGGAACTTTGCTAAGCTATTTACGCTCCAGGAAGGAAGAAAGCGACATGTGCGTGAAACATGGGTGCCAAAATGCCTCTCGTACTGCAGACATTAGCGACGGAGTTGCATAAAGTTTACATAAACGTAACATTTGCTATATCGACCAAAGTACGAACTTCACCGAAACATCGACGCTTCACTGATACTCACTGTGATAGAACTAGCTTCCGAAATATGGTCATTTAACTTTCTAAAATTCCATAGAGGCCTAACAATTTTGCTGGTTTTTATCCGCGCAAAGAAACGCCGTTCGTGAAAATACGATCTTTCTTTCGCCATTCAGGCTACCCAGAACTTGTTTCGTTCCATAACGATGCAAACTCCGAGAACTCGAGGAGATAATGATCGATATTAATGACACCATCGAATGATGAAACCCAATATAACGACAGCTTGTCACTCTAGCTGTAAAAGTTTCATAGGCAATATCGTGCCAATTTCGAGATCAGCTTCGAAAGCACTTTTTCCTAGCGAAGAACGACTCTCGTTAGAGAGTGAAAGTCAATGACCTGACGCAATACTCACGCACACGAAACACATTACCATGGTAATTTCTCGTCGCGTCGAACTGTACGGTAACACGCTACACCGCATAGATTCTACGCCATGACCAGAATATTCATCGTGTACACACGACCGCTTCGAATAGGATCCCGACCTACGTAGTCGCTGATTTGATTACAAAACGCCAACTCGTAGGATCCGACCGGATAAACAGTTGCTGTTGTAACAACGGTGCTACGTTTAATCCCATCGAGACTGCATTTCCCAGGGAAATGATTCATAGGAAATGCGTAGAAGTCGTCGAGGACTTAATTACAAAGTTAAACTAGCCTCCACCAGTAGATCAGAGCAATTATCCTCCTTGCTGTCTTCCATATCGATTCATCAAACTGAAAGCTAACTTGCTTGGCCTAGACGCTATCAAAAGGAACTAGCCAGTTGGAATGAACTCATTCGAAGCTAACGACATACCAATGTGTTATTCGTTGCCTACTGTGACTCACGTACTCGTTCCAGTGACTTTAGATTCGAAAAATTATACCTGAATACTCATAGAGTACTATTTCAGTCTTGACCTGACCTCTGATACCCATGTTGCATAAATGGTAGTCTATTTTAGCGTTCAGGGGTCAGAATTATGACTGGTCTATTGTCTGGGAGGATAAGGGGAAAGAACATTCAGAACGTGTATGCAATAATGATAAATTAATATCGACCGTACTTCGTGGACCCTGACTTGACAGTATATGGGGGTAAAATGAGAGTTAAAATGGGCTGAAATACTATTATGCAAGCAATATTGTAGATATTAATATCTCAGATGAGTGACTGATTATACTTTACAAAAATGTAGCATGTGAAGAATAAGAAAAGGAATTTGTGAGTCACTGTATCTAGAACAACCAATGACAGCTAGGTATGTCTCGGAAGGAATTGATATATGGCTTCTTAAAGAGCCAATGATATATGAAACAAAAATTAATCTTATTTTTCAATATACAGAAGAATCAAAGGCAAGATCCTAACTTCGAATGGGCTAACTCTTTCACAGATCACGAAACTGAAACAGACATGTCCCACGTCATTCAGCTGAAACTATATTCTTCGATATAGAGAGGAATAAAATTCTAATCTCATAAGGACCATCTCATCGAAAGATCCCAACTTCGAATGAGCTAACTATATCACCGGTTATTGACACTAGATTTACAAATGTTGATTCATATACCTATTTTTACTGAAGTGAGCCAATTTGACACATACAAGAAAATTGAAGTTCTCTGCAAAGGAAATAGTTGCAAATCAATTTAAATGAAAGATTTACTATTAAAAAATTACTTGAAATAGCAGTAATATAGCAATCCAATAGGTTCTGATACCTTCATTTATGCAAAAATATTAGCTCACACGATATTAGCCGATAATGTCAACACAATTGAAAATTTTTATCAAAAACCTCTGGGAATTGGAATAGCTATAGTAATCCAATAGGTTCCGATTCCTTCATTTATGCAAAACTATTAGCTCGACAAGATATTAGTCGAAAATGTCAACACAGTTGAAAATTTTTATCAAAAACCTACAGGAATTAGCAATCCAATAGGTTCTGATACCTTCATTTATGCAAAAATATTAGCTCACCACGATATTAGTCGAAAATGTCAACACAATTGGAAATTTTTATCAAAAACCTATAGGAATTGAAATGGCTATAGCAATCCAATAGTTTCCGATCCCTTCATTTATGCAAAAATATTAGCTATACATATATATAGTAATGAAATTTTTAACGAGTCAAATTGGCTCAGTTCGTAAATCTAGTGTTAAACCAGATGAGTGCCTTACTTGATCCGATCCAATACCGATAATATCCCTGAAACAAGACAGCTAGGTCTGAAGAGACCTCTCTAACTGCAGATTACGCAGAGGCAAGCATTACTCCGCATCTTCCATAAAACTCCAAATTCTCGCTCGACTTTCACCCCATCCATCATACGATTTCCGTCAGCAGGCTCAGTGAGCGACATTCGATTTCTAAACCATCAACCCCTGGCGATCGGATCGCGGGATTACCTATATCGGGAGTAAAATCGGCGTGGTTTTGCAACGATCGCGGCAAATTTTGCAAGCCCAAGTGCGCCTAGAAGTGAGAGATTAGGTGCCTTCTATGGAGAACCGTAGCATACTTTCATTGGCGTGGTCCGCCGCGCAGGGACATTCTACTCGGGCTGAACGAACTTTCTATTTGCATTCCCTGTCGCAAGTGTGAGAATCGATTCGAATCTAACGCGTCCTACGACTCGATTCCGTGGAAAGCTATGCGCGGCCGTTTATGCTCGTGGAAACACGCGGCACGGCCGAGAGGCGTGGATCAGCGATCACGTGAAAACGTTTCACACGCACCTAAAGGTCCGCCGGGTGTCTGTGTACGTGTTGGTAAAGGCACTTTTGCGAATACTTTCTCCGATACGCGACGCCAGGTCGACGATTGTCAAGTTCGTTATATATATATTTATCGTATCTATTTATTAGCGGTAAGCTTGAACGATGAAGCGAGCTAAGAGAGATGAGTTCATAAGGGGTTGAGGCGTTTCAGGAAGAACGAACGCAGATCTAGCGTAATTACGTAACGGTGTACTCGTAGCTTTTCCTTGTCGATGGTGTACCGTGCACGAGTGTCGATGTGCACTTGTCTACTCACATTGTAAATACTTTTTCTCGTTAGCATTAATATACCTAGCGGCTACCTAGCGATTTATACGTTTCAGTACTACCACGTCGGTAAGGAACACGTCTCTTACGTTTATAGTTGTTTTTTTGTATTATTTGTAAACGTGATCGAAGAAATATGTATTGTAACGATTTCTTGTTGTTGTTGTCTCGTTTATCCCTCTCGGACTACCCGTGCCGCGCTGCTCGCGTCTCGGGTGCTGAACAGGCCATAGGCAGCCAGAAGTAAAAGTGCCTCGATGGACTCGTAAGTATGATAGACGATAAGCGACATCTTCCGCGATTTTTTGTCGCACTGCAGAATGTTACGCAATTCTCCACATTCTTCGCAATTTCTATATATTAATAATACATTATTGATAACACACTCTGTCACTATTAACACGTTCATCGATTTTTATATATTCAGCCATTTACTGGTAATAAACAGACGTAAACACCAATAACACATTTCCCCCATATTTTTCTGGATATTAATAATAACTATACTATGATGAACAGTAGATCAGTACTAACACATATGTGTTATTTAATAATAAAATTCAATTGAATATTTTATTTTTTATCCATTTATTGGTAATAAACAGGCGTAAACACCAATAACACATGTCCCCTATATTTTTCTCTATATTAATAATCACTACATTGTGATGAACAATAGATAAACACGTAACACATATGTGTTATTTAATAATAAAATTCAATTGAATATTTTATATCTTATCCATTTATTGGTAATAAACAGGCGTAAACACCAATAACACATTTCCCCTATATTTTTCTGAATATTAATAATAACTATACTATGATGAACAGTAGATGAGTACTAACACATATGTGTTATTTAATAATAAAATTCAATTGAATATTTCACATTTTATCCATTTATTGGTAAGGCGTAAACACCAATAACACATTTCGCCTATATTTTTGTGGATATTAATAATAACTATACTATGATGAACAGTAGATGAGTACTAACACATATGTGTTATTTAATAATAAAATTCAATTGAATATTTTATATTTTATCCATTTATTGGTAATAAACAGGCGTAAACACCAATAACACATTTCCCCTATATTTATCTAGCTATTAATAATTTCTATACTATGATGAACAGTAAATGTAACACATATGTGTTATTTAATAATAAAATTCAATTGAATTCAATTCTATACAAAAATTCAATTTTATTACTTGGTTTAGTACAATACTATACTATGGGATTGAGAAATTTATATAAAATACTATACGATATTTATTTTACGTAAAATATAGTACTTTAGTACTGTTATATATACTATAATATATATTATACTATTATATATATCTTCATTTTACATAAAATATAGTACTCCAGTACTATTATGTACATAGTACTGTAGTACTAATATAGTACTTTAATAGCAAACGTGTTTATAATGTAATAATTCATTCGCGATGTCACATCTGCAGCCATAAGTTACGCAAAAAACGTGCAGATTCATGCAAATTCGCGGAATTCATAAAACCTATGTAATAAAATTCCTAGAGAGCGTTTCATTTATTATTTTGAAAGCGAATTGTGACCAATCTAAACACTCTCGTATGCATAATCTAAATTTTGCCAAGAAAATTGAAAATTCCAAACAAGAGTCGTCCATCCAGGAATTTCATATGTCCACGAGGAAAAAGAATTAGTATCAATTATAGCTTCCTATCTTTGCACGATATTTAACAAAGAGTAATCACAATAAATGGACAACGCGATATAAATTTTTCACAAACAAATACACGAGTGTTGACAAAATTACCAGCAAACAAATAAGCAAATACATATCTTCCAAATCACACAGTGTCACAGAGGGATAACGCAACTGATTTACACAATTCATACGCTACATTCCAACTTTCCCTTTCTATAACTTTCAACGAAATAACAAACTGCGAGGAAAGTAGAATCGATCGACATCGATGTGAAATACCAAACTCAATTAATGCAAATGCACAACAGGTAACATTGCCTATACCCTGTTCGTATCTCCATGTAACCTCTGTCTATGTCTCTCTTAGGTCTCGTTCCTCCTGTTCATCGATAATGCAGATGAAATTCTCGATCAGACGAAACACGATGTCCTCCTATGAGATTACAATGTCGGAGAATGAAGTTAGTTCGCTTATTCAGCATTTGTAACGTGTAATTGCTTCCAACGAACACTAACGAGTCTGCCACTGGCAGCAGGCTATTTTCTGTTCGTGTTTTACAGTGGTTAAGCGCTCGCGGAAGACGCTTCCGTAAAAAGAAATTAGAAAAATCAGGAAGCTAGGCGTCTCTGATGTGTAAACGTCATTACATCATCAGAGATGCGTGTTGTCCAACTGCTAAGTTTTCACTGATCCGCTCACAAATCGCACGCGCAACCTCTTCGTCCGATTAAGGGCAACTCTCGAAAGGAGAACGGGTTCGTTCGAAATCTTGGGAGGTGCAATAGCATGATGCAACTATGTCGATTCGATGGTCTGTCTAAATTGTGCTACGCGAAGAACAAGTTGCGGTAAATCCCGTTCTTTGGAGAGGTAAAAAGTTGCAAAATATGCCGGTATTTACCGATAATCGATAGGTATTATGGGGTAAATTGGAGTCACAAATTTGAGACTTGATCTGATAATTGTTCGAGATAATTTATACTAGTTTTG